ACCTATGTGATCCAGTAGAGGTAATGTAGCGGTCACACTTACAAGTGTGTGCCATAGCAGATGGGTTAGCGCAGCAGGACAGTTGCATCATTTCCCATCTGAGATGATGATCCTGAGTACAGGTGCCCACATGCAAGGCATAGTCTGGGGACTACATAATGACTGAAGGAAAGCTATGACAGCACATCAAAAGTTGACAGATGTTTGGCTTCGTAATAGCACATGTTAAGATTATGAACAGTTGGAAATAATATTCTGGTCGCAGTATATTGACAGAACCATAAAGTGGCTATAACAACAGAGCAGATGTTCTCTGATACCACAAAAGGATGATTCTAGAAAAACTGAGACAAATGTTAACAAATGGGAGTTTAAAATGTTTTTTGGCTTTGATTCACTAGAACAGCTTACTTGGTGGCAAATTTATTATCAACTACTTCAAGTCTTTTGTTCAAAACATATAAAACACAGGCTTGGAATTACACTAGTTTAGCTTTAGCAGATGAAAACATTACCTTAAAATTTTATGTAGTCTTTCATAAATGATGAATTCGGCTCATGCAATTGTAAAGAAACAAAACCACACCCAATAGTCCTACAGATAGAGAGACTGCTTGTCAAGTTTTCTCCTCCCAGGGAAGTGTATAGCAGGAGAACTTTGAGGAAAGATGTGCCCAAAGGTGGGGACAGTCAGGCTGGTGCTCCTGGCCACTAGGAATTCAAGCAAGTTTCTAAAGTGCAGAGCTGGAGAAAATCTAGAAATCAAGCACATGGTTACAGTCCTGAGGCTGGTAAGAGGACTGAAGAGCCTCCTTTAGCTTCTTAAGTAAGAGATGCTCAGCAGGTACACTCAATGGAGATATCCTCAAATCAGAGATAAACAGAGGCTTGAAGTCTACACAGTTCTGGTGGCAAGCATTTCCAATAAGATGTCCTCAGCATGACCTACATGCTCATCCGTATCTGGATCTTGTGTCTGAAAACCCCAGCATCTTTCGGAGTGTAAGCATTTAGTAGTATCTGATGCACTGGGGCTGTTGGCATGGTAGCACCCATCCTGGACCCCACAGCCAAGCATGCTGCTCCTTTCTGTGTAGTCTACATACATGCACTAGTGTAATGTCCCATGTCCTGCTCGATTTGTGACAACTTTCTTTTCTAACCTCCTTGCTCCATTTCTCCCTATAGCCAGTGACAGCCTTCAAACTCCTCACCATTTCCAGATGTCACATTTTGTTCTTCATGCTTTTGTTTACTGTTTCTAGCATTTTGTTCTTCTGCATTTCTCTCTTGTTCCCTGTATTTATCCTGTTGGAGTCCTTAGTGGATCATTCATGCCCATTGAGTGGAAAGCATAATTTGATGACTTTTGATTAAATCATGTTTGGAGAATAATAATTAAAATGATTTTTAAGACATTATTAAAGTTCATAGGGTTTTTTTTTTATTTGTTTTTAGTCTGTCTCTCATCCCTTCAGTGTGTCGAACACTTTGAGAGCTGGCAGAGTCTTACCAACATTTACATCTAAGGAGCTTGCAAAACACTGAGAGAGAGAGCTGGGAACAATTTGCTCCCAAACTGTGAGCATGTCCTTTCATCTCAGCAAACCTAGAGATGATGGTGAACGGAAAGTCCTTTGGGTCTCTGAGCGAAGGAGGTGTAAAGACTTGAGGGCTTCTCTGATCTTTAGCATGAGCCCACAGACTCCTTTAGGCTTTCTATGTCCCATTTGAGTAACAACAGGAGACTTTTTTTTCCTGTAAAATAGTAGCAAGATACCTGGGGCCCACATGCCAAAGTTCTCGTTTTTTTAAACATTAAGTTCAATATTCATACTTATATGGCAGTCCAAGTTGTATCACTAAGTGATGGCTAGCACCGCTGGACTCTTTTTAATATTAAAAATAAAATAATGCACAAAGAGGTTTTTACATTCAACCTCTGGTTCTATTTTTGTGGATTTAGAGTAAAAATTTCATGGCTTTTTAGATTGTTTTTATTACAATATGTATGTATGGTAAATATTGTTTTTAAAGGTCCAACTAAGGAATAAATGGTACACCCATCTTGATCAAAGATTTCAAATACGAAGTTCTGATTTCAGCCTTTTATTTCTTCTTGTAAGCTGTTTGACTAAGATTATCAGGATATCCTTATTGAGTAATGGTAGGGCAAGATGGAAAAGTCACCTTTCACAAGTCACAAGTGAAAATGACTGTGCAAAAGGTGAAGGGCTCCGTTGTGCACATCCAGCGCACAGCAGTAAACTCTAGTCTTATGGTCACCGAGGACTTAGAAATACTGTTTGTGTAAAAACGCACAGTTAAACTTATACATTCAATATTTAATCTGTAGCTAACTACACATATATAGGAAGGTATGTATATAGGCTTATGCTCAATTTCAAATATGTAATTAAATGTATACATCTATGGTAGTATTCTTGTAGTATTTCTCTTGAATAAGTTGGAAAGAAGTATAGCACTTCTGAGTACAGATGATCACTGCCTTTCTGAGGTACTTCTTAAAGGCTTCATAATTATATTTTTAATCTACTTTGGGGGCCTGAAAAATGGCTCCATGGGTAAAGTGCTTATAGCAGCAGCCTGAGAACCAGAGTTTGGCACCCCAGCACCCATGTAAAAGCTAACTGGGTATGAATACCCTACTGTAATACCAGAAAGCAGAAGGCAGGGACAGGCTTCCCAGTGCAAGCTGACTAACCAGACCAATCAAAATAGCAAGCTCCAGGTTTAATGGAAACCCTGCCTTGGTATATAAGGTTGAGAGCGCTCAAGGAAGACACCTACTATCAATCTGTAGCCTCCACAAACATATACACACATGTGTAACCACACACATGTAAACATACGCACCCACATACACATGTACATATGCAAAACAAATAAAATCTATTTCTCCTTTTCCTAGACCATAATCTCCTTGAAGACAAGTGTAGTTTTGTTGTTGTTTTTTTTTTAATTCTCTATTCCTACAATACATCCCTACTGCAGCTTCCCCTCCTTTTACTCTTTTCTGTCCCCCCCCAGCTCCTAGATCCCCTAGATTCACTCCCCCTTTGTATTTCCCCCCCAAAAAGAGTGGATCTCTCAGGGACATCAACTGAACACACAAGATACTATGTAAGACTAGACACAAACCCTCACATCAGGGCTGGACGAGGCAACCCAGTAGGAGGAAAAGGGTCCTAAGAGCAGGCAAAAAGAGTCAGAGACACTTCTACTTCCACTATCAGGAATACCCCCAAAACTCCAAGCCAACAACCATAACATATATGCAAAGGATCTAACGCAGACCCACGCAGGCTCCGTGACTGACACTTAAGTTGCTGTGAGCCCCCTTCATCCCCCTTAGTTGATTCTGCCTACCATACTCTTGAGGTGTCTTCAACTACTCTGGCCCCCACAATTCCTCCTCCTCTTTTCCTCAGGGGTTCCCCGAGCTCTGAGGGGACAGGTCAGATGACACCTCCAACCTGGGATCTCTCTTCACCTAATCTTCGGCTGTGGATCTCAGCACCAGCTCTCAACAGCAGCCAGAGGTGGTCTCTCTATGATGACTGGACTAGGCACTGATCTATGAATATATCAGCACATCCTTATTTTCTTTCTTTTCTCTCTTTTTTCTTTCTTTTTTTTCTTCTTTCCTTCCTTCCTTTGTTTCTTTTTTCCAGTTGTGTTTGGTTCTACCCCAGGTCTCTGGTCATCCAGGTAATGTCAGGCATGGCTTCCCCCTGGTGGCATGGACCTCAAATTAGACCAGCCATTGGTTGGTCACTCCCACAAGTTCTCTGCCACCATTATCCTAGCATATCTTGCATACAGGACAGATTGTAGGTCTAAGGTAGCTGGAACACCAATCCAGCCATTGGAAGCCTTGGCTGGTTGCAGAAGATGGACTGTTTAGGCTCTTGGTACTCCATTACTAGGAGCCCTTGCTTGGTACCCCTATAGATGCCAGGAGTTTCTACTGCACCAAGTTTTCACATCACCCCCAATGCCTCCCATTCATTCTAGCCATCTCTCCCCATACATTCACTCCATCCCTCACCATACCATTTGATCCCTCCTGTTCCCATCCACACCTACCTCCAGTCTACCTGCAGATCTATTCTGTTTCCCCTTCCCAGGGAGATTCATGTGTCCCCTCTAGAATCCCCCTTGTTACTTACCGTCTCTGAGTCTGTGGGCTGTACCATGTTTATCATTTACTTACCAGCTAATATCCACTTGTAGGTAACTACATACCATGTTTGTCTTTCTGGGTCAGTGGGGTTAAGCAAATGTAGTTTTTAATTAGGTCTTGAAGACTCTAGAAAAAGAGGACAGAAAGGAAGGCTAATTCAGGTCACAGGTCATGACTGTATAAGTTAACATTTAGGTTTCTATTTAAGTCTTTAAGTTCTTTAAATATAAACAGATTATTTAACATAGGCAGTATCATGTGTTTTCTTAGTTCACTAAATATTTAATCCAGTGGTACCAGGTGTAATCCTAGAATCAGCATATCTGCATCTCCTGGAAACTTAGAAAATTCTTGGCCCTCTACCCAGACCTATTGTCAGAAACTCTGGTGTCAGGTCCCAGCTATCTGTTCTAACAGACTTTCCCAAGTATTCCATTAGAGAGCTCCTGGCCTACACTAACAGTAGTTCATGGACTAGTTGAAACTCCATGGGCTTTGATACCAGACCTTCATTTGAATCTCACCTCCTCTACTTCATAGGTCTGTGGCTGGCAGTCTCAAACATACTGTCTATGAGTTGAGATGTTTCAGATAATGCTTCTTTTCCAGTTCTGTGGTAAGGATGGATGACCATAAGTGCCTGTTACTGTAGCTAGTATACTATAGGCCTATGACAAATGGTAAGTACTTAACTCTGAGTTGCTTTAAGCTTCAGCATTTTTGTAGATACTGTTTCTACACTAATAAGCTTGTTTACTTATTAATTAAAGCATGTTCATATTTTTGCTTCTAGAGTCAAATGCTCAAAAAATTGAGGACATCTATGGTCTGAATGGTCAAATAGAGCACAAAGTAGCTTTTCTGAGAGCTCATGTACCAAAGGATGTGAAGCTTGTACTCATTGGCCATTCCGTAGGCAGCTATATTGCTCTTCAAGTGATGGACCGTGCCCCCGACCTGCCTGTAAGTATGCCTTAGAAGGTGATCGTGCGTGCCTGATTGTGTATTTGAAAAAATCCTCATCTTTCCTTTGATTTTTTTTTTTGAAAGCAGAGGGAGAGGTGTGTGGTGTCTACCTTTACCCTTTTCTCTTTATTACCAAAGATGTGTTTCAGAAATTCCCATGATATTCCAGTGAATAATGGTGGGAAAGAGATTTTCTAAATGAATGCCTTTGAATCTAGTGTTCTCTGGGGTTCTGATGTCATGGTTAACTTTCTGTCTTTTATAAAGCAATGTTTAAGAACAGTTACTGAGAGTGGCATGGGAAGGACTCTGTCTTTATTGAAAGAGTGTTCTGAAAATATTCATAGGCTGGAGAGATGGCTCAGAGGCTAAGAGCACTGACTGCTGTTCTAGAGGATCCAACAAGTGTAACTCCCACCAGGTGGTTCTCAGCAGTCTGTAACTACAGCTTAGGGAATCTGTGCCCTCTCTGGCCTCCACAGGCACTGCATGCAGACGGTGCACAGATAAACCACCCACAAAATAAAAACAGTAAATCTCCAAAAAACTTAAATAAGAAAATATTCCTGTCTCTTTTAAGAAGCAAAATGGTGCACCATCATCAACAGATCAATGCCCATCCTTGTAGAATATGTTAGGTAGATAGATAATGAGTTTAGATTCTTTTCTGTTTTGTAGTTTGCAGATACATATGTATCCTTTCATTCACAGACTCACTTTCTTTGTCTTTTTGTTTGTTGTTATGATCCTGGAGATGAAACTAGGGCCTAAAGCATGATAGACAAGTGCTCTACTACTGGGCTGCACGCACAGCCTCATCCAATTGGTTCTTAAGTGCAGCCATGTACTGTATAGTGAGGCATTGAAGTCACAGATTTCAACTTAGAGAGTGAACTGCTTAAGAACCTTTAAATAAAGGTGCGCTTTAACCCACAGTGAGTAGCTGCAATTTACAAGTTATTTCTTCATTTGGCTTATGTGTGTAAAACCACTTCTGTGTTATCTTGAAGAAGCCCCTGAGGATACAGGTTGTTTTTTAGCAAAGGGCCTGGAGTCTCGTGGATGAGACAGCTAAGCAACAGGAAGGGATCCCTTCACAGCGTCCCTGTCCATGAATATTTTCACTCTGTGTGATAAAATATCTCCAGCAGGGTCTTGGATCCCAGTAGGAATTTGCCTCCTTTCCTGCCAGCTTGCTTCATTCAGTGCTCAAACCAGCACTTGGAAAGAGTACAACTATAGACTCTGACTGTTTTTAATACCAAATGGATTTTAATTTTCTCCTTTTGGATATAAGAAAATATATTTTTATGTCTAAGTGTGAATTCAATAAATTGAAGATTATTCATTGAATTCTTACTTCCACTCAGTTATATTTTACCCTAGATACGGGCTTTTATTCAGGAAGCAGCCTTCCTTTTGATGTTAGCCTTGGCGTCACTTACAATCTCTTTTTTGTCCTTGAAATTCCTCTCACACTGTGTGGCTACCATATTTCCCAGCACCCAGGCTGCGTGTGAGCACCTCTCTCCATGCAGTAAGTGTGAGCTTTGTCTCTAGCCTACTCACTTAGGCTCAAATCAGTTTTTGACATTTTTTATTTGTGTAAACTTGGACAAGTCATTGAGTCTCTATCTCAGTGTCTCCATCAGCAAATTGGAAATAATTCATGTATTCTTCAAGGATTTTGTGAGGATTTATGTAAAATATTAAAAGTGTTGCCTGGGATTTCAATGTTCTAAGCAAGTATCTATTATGGTTTTTATGGAAATAATACTAGACTCATTTCAAGCATTAGGTTAACTACTGTATTGATTACCTACTGCTATATATCGAGTTGCCCCAGACCAGTATTGTAAAGTCATATGTATTTACTACCAGTTTCTAGTCAGAAATCTGATCACAGCTTGTCCAGATCCCAGACTGCAGAGTCGTTGACAAGATAGTAATCATGTGTCTTCCCAGGGTTATAGTCTCCTGTGAACACTTAGATTGAGATGGGAGGATAGGAAAGGATAGAAAGAAGGAAAGGAAGGAAAGAGGGGAGGGGGAAAGGGAGAGACACAAGCTTAACACAGTCCATTTGTGAAAACATTATGATCAGGAGTTTCAGAGAGCTGAGAAACTATATTTCCTCCTCTTTAATGGTCTGGAGAGATGGCTCCACAAGTAAAGCACCTGTTCCACAGCCATGAGGACGTGAGTCTGGATCTCCAGCACCTGTGTAACAGCCAGGTGTGAGCCCCAGTTCTATGGGAGCAGAGTGTAGATACCTGGAGCTCGTGAACCTGCCATCCTCAAAAACCCGTGAGCTCCAGATTCAATGAGAGTGTCTCAAAAACTAAGCACAACTGAGAAAGACCCAGCATCAACCTTTGCCTTTACATGTACATTCACAGACATACATGTACACACATACATGACCATATAGACACACACATATATCACATACGGAGAGAAGAGACACACAGACACAAGTAGTAGACTAGAAAATAATGTGTGTGATTGTACATGAAAGGCACCTTTAGGGAGGTAAAGGTGTTTTCTGTACACGTTTGTGTTTTCATTACTCAAAGGTTTTATCTGGGGCTGGAGATGGTTCCACAGTTAGGAATAATTGTTGCTCTTACAGAGGGCCTGGGTTCAATTTCCAGAATCTGCATGGTAGCTCCCAGCCATTTATAACTCTAATTCCAGGGACTCTGACACCTTCTTCTGATGTTTGTAGGCACCAGGCATGTGCATGGTATACATACGTACATACATACATACATACATACATACATACATACAGGCATACAGGCATAACTTCACACAAAAAAAATCTTTTTTTTTAAAAAAAAAGCTATATCTGGTTTCAATTATCTACATTGTTGAAATTCTCCACCATGACATCCTGCCTGCCTCTCGACCACTAAACACCTGGGCCAGTTAATAACTGCTGGTGTGATCCATGCCGAGGCGTTGAAATCCCAGTGTCTTGAAGACAGCACACTGCCTGCATGCCTGAAGTTAACATGAAACGCTCCATTTAAGATGCATTTGACAATCAAGTAAGTTGTGGAAGCCAGAGTGTTGCAATCCCTAATCATTTTGCCAAAAATAAGTTAGCTGTTATGTTTTATAACATATGAAGTGTGATAATAAGAAACTTGTGTTCCCATCTCTTCTGTTATTTTTACTGGAATTTTTGACTCCCATAAGATTTTGAGGGCATATTTGTAGTTTGGTAGCTGGTTTGTTTGGTTTTCCTTTGGTTCAGCACTTTGCAATATTTTTGTGTAATTTTTGACACCTTTGTTCTTACATCATTTAAGAGACTCGTTGTATAATGCCAAAAATATTGTCTGACCTATAGCTCAGTACAGTGCAAAATAATTGCATCTTTTAAAATGTGGAATTGATTTTTTTTGTTTCTCTCTTTAATCTAGTTTGATATATATAAAAAAAATTAGAAATAGAAGTTTGTCAGATACTTCGAAAGTGGTGTCCAGACAGGGATTTTTTTTTCTTTAAAAAAGTTAATTCGACAGGCAGTGGTGGCACACGCCTTTAATCCCAGCACTTGGGAGGCAGAGGCAGGCGATTTCTGAGTTCCAGGCCAGCCTGATCTACAGAGTGAATTCCAGGACAGCCAGGGCTACACAGAGAAACCCTGTCTCAAAAAAAA